AACCTCACTTGATAATTAGGTTCAACATCTCAATCTCGCGTCTGATTGGCTATCTGTAAAAACATGTCAAACCGGTTTAGGGTATATTTAGTTAGAATTGCATACGCTCATTTCCCAAACTGATTTGACTTGTTTCGCTTTTCTTTTGCATCACGAACTCTTAGATTTCTTGGTGCATTTGTATCCCGACACGAAGACAATATTAACGTTGATGTATACAGAAAACCTACACACAGATATATATTTAGATCAGTTTCGACCACGACAACCAACACAAAGTTAGCGTTGCTAGGACGCTAATACAAAGCCATACCATGACCAAGTATACAGGTGAGAAAACAGAAAGAACTGGACCATCTAGGTAACACCTCACCAGGTATAAACGATGTCCAAAGAAAGTGGAAGATCAAAGTTACATCTTGATTGACAATCGTTCCGTATATTAAATTATTAAAATATGCAAAGGGTTTCCCCAACTGCGTTCATGTAAATATATCATATTTCTAACAGAAAGGCGTAAATGCTTCATTATTCCATCACTATTTTCAGTGAGTGATCGTAATAAAAACTTATTTATCGATATAAATGTTTACTAAGTTTTTACCTGCTTGTCGATATGTCCGTGACCAAAGAATAAATTCTTCTACACTGCAATACGTTGTATGAGCTTTCAGTATTTACTTCCTAAGTTAAAATGAAAAAGCTATCAATATACATCAACATATAAGATACAGGAATGGGTACTCTGGTTCCAAAGGCTCTTGAAGAACGACCAGACAAACAGAAAAGCGGCTCTAGGCAAATCGATTGCGAATCTGTTATAGGTTCAAAACATGAATGAACCTCGTATCTGATTGGCTATTTGTAAAAACAAGTCAAACCTGTTTGGGGTTATATATTAGCTGTATTCATATACGTTTACTTCCCAAACCGGTTTTTACAAATAGCCAAAATCACATGCGAGGTTTTGGTTTATATAGTTCGGTCTTCGCATTTCGTTTGCATCACATTTCTTTTGCCACGCTGTTCTTTCGGTTCGCCGTTCTCAGACTCTAGAATGTCCGTGACCAAAGGGAAAGACTGAAAGAAGATCAAAGGCAAATAATAAATTCTTCTACACTGCAATACCGTTGTATGAACGTTCAGTATTCGATTTCCTTCTAAAGCTAACTAAAATGAAAAGGCCGCTATCAGTATACTGACATTGATAGTATTGACCGAGGCTCTTCTGCTGCAAAATATATAATACTAATGAAAGAGGCAGTGGCGCCGTGGCCGGGGGGGGGAGGGGGAGCCATGCCCCCTCCCCCCGTATTGTGGAGACCCGTCGGAAAATTGTGAATGTTGTCGGAAATTTTTTGAAAATTGTCAACGTTGTCGGAAATTGTCAAAGTTTCCGACGTTTGTAAATTCGAAAAATTTTGGATAAATGGAGAAAATTGGTGATGTCCGGAAAAATTTTAAGATGTAACGAAAAATTTTGATATGTCCGGAAAATTTTTTTGACCCCTAAAATGGTACACTGACCGAAAATTTTTTGGCGAAGCGGGGAGGGGGTTGAGGTCGCCCAAAAAAATTTCAGTTAAAAAAAATTTTCGCGACGTTTCTGTCGGAAACTAT